GATCCTAAAAATCCTAGATCTCAGCGATCCTAGGTCCTAGAGATCTGTCCATTTTGGCTGGACTTTTTGTCAATTTTTCTGTGATTTTTCACTTCAATTTGAAGGGCCTTCAAAAATTTGAAAAGTTCAACCTTTTGAAATTTCTCTACATCTTGTGTCAAAATCGCATTGAGCAGAGGGCATGGCTCTTGGCACGTTTGTTGCCCGTTTTTTCGTCGTCCTCGCGGCTTCCCCGCTCTCTCAGCGTCTCTCCTAAAAGTACACACACTCTCTCTCTTCTCTGGTGTCTCTCGTGGTCCATGGCGCCAAAGCCTCGAGACCCTCAACTACGAGAGAGTTTAGAGAGACGCAGATGTTCTCTGCAGATAAATGCTTTGAAATGTTCTCTTTTCCGTCGGGGAAAGTTGAATTTTGAAGAGCTAGAAAACTAGCTGGAATTTCAGCCATTTTTCAGCCATAATACGTGTTTGATCGTTTTGGGCTCATTTTGGGCGATTTTTTGAGCTAAAATTTGCAGTTTTTGGACCATTTTCAGCTCAGAACAGGCCTAAAATGAGCCTGAAAGGCCGAAATTAGAAGCCAATTTGACTAGAAATTTGCGCGTATTTTGTGCACTTTCAGCCAGATTGCAGCCAAATAAGGTCGAAAAAGTTTCAATATATTTGGAATTTTCTAGAATATTTTCAGTAAGCATTGCTCAGCCCAAAATCTGGAGCCATTTTCGAACGAATAGGTCCTTTTTGACCTCTGTTTTGAGCCATTTTTGAGGGTTTTTTGACTGAAAATTTGGACAATTTCAGAGAATTTTAAAGATCACAAAAATAAATATTTTTGTTTGATTCGGAATCAAAAAAAAATATTTATAGTTTTTTTTTTGATATCTTTAGTGATAAACACACAACTGATCACCAGTTGTTGTTGTTTCATGATGACGTCTACTAGAGAAGCGAGAGATAGGAAGATTGTCTTCTTTTTTTTCTCGAACTTTCGGCAAAATTTTCAATTTCAAATCTGATGGATTTTTTCCCGGATTTTCAGTCAATTTTAGCCGATTTTCAGCGCTTTTTTCAGACGAAAAACATTGGAAATTTAGCAATTTTCGGCCGTTTTTTAAGGTGAAAGTGGAAAAATCGGTGAGAATGGACCAATTTTATCCGATTTTCAAGCAATTTTCTGACAAAAAAACCTGACCTAAAAAAACGGATTTCAAGGTTTTTTAGCCAGAAAAAAGGCTGAAAATTGCTAATTTTTAGACGATTTTTCAATTTCAATTAAATAAAATTTGGCTGAAAATTGCTGATTTCTCGATGAGTTTTCGTCTGAAATTGACTGAAAATCTTGGAAAATGATTTTGAACACCTTTTTCGATCTACATTTTTGATCTATGCTCCGCTCCTCCCGCCAAATTTCTGAATTTTTCTCGTTTTTCAGAGCGACTTCCGAATAGGAAAAAAAACAGCTGAAATTCATTCAAAAGCAACAAAAGATGCCGGACCATGGACGTATGCCGAGAAATTTGTCGTCGAATAAGGTAAGAATTTAGGCTGAAAATAGTCAAAAAAAAAACTAGAATTTTGAGAAAAATAGCCAAAATTTCACTAAAAACCGTTGAAATTTGACTGAAATTTGACCTTTTAGAGTCATTTTTGACTATTTTCAGTCGAATTTTGGACCATTTTCAGCGAAAAATTGGTCTAAAATTGTCTGAAAATGGCTGAAAATAACTGAAATCTGACTTTTTGAGGCGATTTTTCCCTATTTCCACTCGAATTTTGGCCATTTTCAGCGAAAAATTGGTTTAAATTTGCATGAAAATAGCTGAAAATGACCGAGATTTGACTTTTTGAGGCGATTTTTCACTTTTTTCACTCGAATTTCGTCCATTTTTAGCGAAAAATTAGTCGATATTTGTCTGAAAATATCTGAAAAAGACTGAAGTTCGACTTGATAGGTCCATTTCCGACTATTTTCAGACAAATTTTGCATATATTCAACGAAAAACTGGTCTAAATTTCACTGAAAATAGCTGAAAATGGCTGAAAATGACTGAAAGTTGACCTTTTAGAGCCATTTTTGACTATTTTTACTCAATTTTCGACCATTTTCAGCGAAAAATTAGTCGAAATTTGACGAAAATCAGCTGAAAATGGCTAAAAATGACTAAAATTTGACCTTATTGGCCCATTTTTCACTTTTTCCACTCAAATTTTGTTCATTTCCAGTGAAAAATTGGTCTAAATTTGACTGAAAATGGCTGAAAATGACTGAAATTCGACCTTTTAGAGTCATTTTTGACTATTTTCAGTGGAATTTTGAACCATTTTCAGCGAAAAATTGGTCTAAAATTGTCTGAAAATGGCTGAAAATAACTGAAATCTGACTTTTTGAGGCGATTTTTCCCTATTTCCACTCGAATTTTGGCCATTTTCAGCGAAAAATTGGTTTAAATTTGCATGAAAATGGCTGAAAATGACCGAGATTTGACTTTTTGAGGCGATTTTTCACTTTTTCCACTCGAATTTCGTCCATTTTTAGCGAAAAATTGGTCTAGAATTTGTCTCAAAATGGCTGAAAATGACTGAAATTCGACCTTTTCGAGGCAATTTCCGACTATTTTCAGACAAATTTTGCATATATTCAACGAAAAATTGGTCTAAATTTCACTGAAAATGGCTGAAAATGACTGAAAATAGCTGAAGATGACTGAAATGTGACTATTTTCAGTCAATTTCCGGCCATTTTCAGCGAAAAATTGGTCGAAATTTGACGAAAATCAGCTGAAAATGGCTAAAAATGACTAAAATTTGACCTTATTGGGCCATTTTTCACTTTTTCCACTCAAATTTTGTTCATTTCCAGTGAAAAATTGGTCTAAATTTGACTGAAAATGGCTGAAAATGACTGAAATTCGACATTTTAGAGTCATTTTTTACTATTTTCAGCCAATTTCCGACCATTTTCAGCCGAAATAAACTCAAAATTCGACACAAAAATGTTCCAGATAGCCAAAACGATCGCTGGCGAGGATCTGGACGAGGAGGAGGTTCTGGAGATGGACGCGGGACGAAGCGCTCGTGAAGAGGGTCGTTTCGTCTTCGAGTGTGCATGGGAAGTGGCCAATAAGGTGCGGTTTTTGACTGGAATTTTGAAATTTTCAGCGATTTTTAGTCTAGAAAGTCGGGAAAATTGATTTTTGAGGGTTCAGGACTTGAAAATATGTAATTTTCTGCGATTTTTGACCTGAAAAGTTTGAAATTTGACCCTAGGAACGTTGTCGATTTTCAGAGGTCCTGGGAACCCGGAAATGTGAATTTTCAGCGATTTTTGACCCCGGGAGTCTGAAGTTTGAGTGTCACGAAGTTGAAAAATCGATTTCTGGAGATCTTTGGAACCTAAAATTTTGGAATTTTCAGCGATTTTTGACCACGGAAGTCCGACATTTGACCTCAGAAAAGTCTAAAAATTGATTTTTGAGGTCCCCAGAATCTGAATTTGTTAAATTTTCAGACATTTTTGACCCGGAACATCTGAAATTCTTATCTTGAAAAGGCTAAAAATCGATTTTTGGCGGTCCCGGGTACCTGAAAATATGGATTTTCAGGCATTTTTGACCCGGACAACCTGAAATTTGAGTGTCCCGAAATTGAAAAATCTATTTTTGGTGGTCTCGGGAACCTGAAACTGTGGATTTTCAGGCACTTTTGTCCCGGAAAGGTCTAAATTTGTGTCTTAAAAGGTCGAAAAATCGATTTTTGAGGTCCCCAAAACTTGAAAATTTGAATTTTCAGGCATTTTTGACCCGGGAGGGTCTAAATGTGGGCATTCAGAAGTTAAAAAGTTGATTTTCTAGGAATCTGGAAGCTAAATTTTTGGAATTTTCGCTCCAAAATCATCGGGAAAACTGATTTTCAGCCTGAAAATCCCATTTTTAGCTCCAAATACTCCTAAAATTCGATATTCCAGGTCGGTGGAATCTACACGGTGCTCCGCAGCAAGGCTCAAATCAGTACCGAGGAGCTCGGCGATCAGTACTGCATGTTCGGACCGATGAAGGATGGGAAATGGCGTTTGGAAGTGGACCCGATTGAGCCCGAGAATCGAACGATTCGTGCCGCGATGAAGAGATTTCAGGTAAGCGCGGGGAAATGAGCTGAAAATGGGCTAGAAATGGGCTGAAATGGACCAAAATGGACCAAAATAGGCTCGAAATGGTCCGAAATAAGCATAAAATAGACGAAAAGGGCTTCAAATGGCCCAAAATGGGCCTCGAAAATGACCTAAAGTAGGCTAAACATGGTCCAAAATAGGCTTAAAATGGCTTAAAATAGACTGAAAATGGCCTAAAATGAGCTCAAAATGAGCCAAATTTTGTCCAAAATGCCTCATTTATGGACCCAAAATTTCCGAGTTTTCAGTTTCCGGAAGTCCCAATTTCAGTGCCAAAAATCCAATATTTCAGCGGTTTTTGAGTAATTTTTGCTAATAAAGGCTTTCAAATTGCTCTAAAATGACCCCCAACTGGGCAATTTTGAGCTCCAAAATCATTATTTTCAGCCAGAATTTCCCCGAATTTTTTGTCTGAAATGACCGATTATTAGCGCCAAAAATCGAGAATTTCAGCTCAATTTTGGCTTCAAATTGATCCCAAAGCGGCCCATTTTAAGCCTAATTCTACCTTTTTTTTTTGTTGAAAATGGACTATTTTAAGCATCAAAAATTCACAAATTTCAGCCTAAAATAGTCCACATTTTTGCAGGCCGACGGTTTCCGGTGTATGTACGGTCGATGGCTGATCGAGGGCTATCCGAAAGTGATTCTATTCGATTTGGGATCCGGCGCCGTTAAGATGAACGAATGGAAGCACGAGCTGTTCGAGAAGTGTAAAATTGGCATTCCCCACGAGGACATTGAATCCAACGACGCCGTGATTCTCGGCTTCATGGTTGCCATCTTCCTCAAACACTTCCGTGAATCCGTCACCAGCTATCAACCACTCGTCGTAGCTCACTTCCACGAATGGCAGGCTGGCGTTGGTCTTCTGATGACTCGCCTGTGGAAGCTGGACATTGCGACGGTGTACACGACGCACGCCACACTGCTCGGACGTCATTTGTGTGCTGGTGGCGCGGATTTGTATAACAATTTGGATGCGTTCGACTTGGATGCAGAAGCAGGGAAGAGAAAGGTGATGAATTAAGCATGAGCAATCAGGAAGGAAGGCTGTGAAAAGGGCTTCAAAATGAGCCAGAATATAAGCATGAGCAATGGCTGGAAAGGCTGGAAAAATGAGCATAAATCGATGCTTCAAAATATATGGTTTTTACAAGGGAACCATGTTTAGCCTTCATCTCAGAATTTTTTCTAAATTTGCTCATTTATAGTTTCAAATACGGGCTTTCTTGTGGTGTATACGGTTTTCTGCACAAATTTCTAGAAGTCGAGTTGTTAATCGCAATTTTAAAGGTTTCTCTACAATCTGACAAAGTTTCCTCTTTTTTCAAAAAAAAAAATTTTTTTTTAAATTTTTGCCATGGGTAATTTTGCCCTTTGCAAAATTTTCAATTTTTCGAAAATTTTTTAAATGTGCTAAAATGTGCTAAACGCATAAAAATGATAAAATGAGTGTTTTCACAAGATTCTGTAGCCTATATCTGTTTTGAAATCCGAAATAAGTGATTTCTTCCAAAACTCCAATGAATTGTAGTCCTTCGAAAATCACCCAATAGCACTCAAATATTGTGAAAACATAGATTTACATACTTCTTGACTGATTTATAACTGTTCCGCAACCAATATGATCAAATAGGGAAATTTCGACTGACATTTTGAGTAAATAAGGCTTTTCAGCAGTGCTTCAAGAATTTTTCAGAAATTATCTTTTTCGAGCTTTTTTCCTACTGAAATAATAGAGCAAACATAGTTTTGATTTTAGAAAAGTTCAAAGCCTTCCTCCAACATCAAAGAAAAAAAAAGAAAAAAGGAAATGGACAGTGACGGAATCGAACCCCAAGCTTGTGACTACGGGAAAGTGGAAGGGAAGGATGAGACAAAAAAAACAGCATATTTTCAGATGGACTTTTCTTGGCTTCTAGAAATTTGTGCAGAAAACCGAATACACCACAAGAAAGCCCGTATTTGAAACTATAAATGAGCAAATATAGAAAAAATTCTGAGATGAAGGCTAAACATGGTTCCCTTGTTAGTAATTTTTTGCAAGAAAAAAGTCTGAAAATCTAAGCATGAGCAATCTGGAAAAAATCGCTGAAATTGCACCAAAATGAAGGGTTTCTGTTGATTTTAGATCTGGAAAACGCCCCCCCCCTGACAATTTAAGCATGAGCAATCTGAAAAGTGCTTGAACATGTGACCCGTTTGAAATTAGGCCCCAATTTTATCAAAAATGACTTGAAATGTGCTTTTTAATCGTCTGAAAAGCCTAAAATCAGCTCCAAATGAGCCCAATATTATCGAAATTTTGCTCATTTTTGGCCACGACATTTCCGGATTTTCAGCCTCTGATTTCAGTGCAAAAATTTCAAATTTCGAGCCTTGATTTCCAATTTTCTGCTAATTTTGGCTCCAAATTGGTCTAACATGACCCTAGAATGGCGAGTTTTAAGTCTCAAAAATCCGAATTTCAGCTAAAATTTCACCGCATTTTTGGCTGAAATAACGTCTGAAAATATAAAGCTGAACAATCTGAAAAAAAGCGGCTGAAAAGTCTTCAAAATGAGCCTAAACCTGTATTAGAAGGGCCCCCCTCCACCCTCTAATTGAAGGGCCCCTGTAATAAAAGGGCCGGCCCTTCTAATACAGGTTTTACGGTATTTTGAAACCACGAAATTAAGGAATCTGAAATTCTGAAAATCTGAAAGTCTGAAAAATTCCAAAACTTTTCCAGATCTACCACCAATACTGCCTGGAACGTGCCGCGTGTCAGACCGCGCACATCTTCACTACAGTATCCGAAATCACGGGACTCGAAGCCGAGCACTTCCTCTGCCGAAAACCGGACATTCTGACGCCGAATGGACTGAACGTCATTAAATTCGCGGCGCTTCACGAATTCCAGAACTTGCATGCTCAGAACAAGGAGAAGATCAATCAGTTCATCCGCGGGCACTTCCACGGACATCTGGACTTTGATTTGGACAAAACGCTGTACTTTTTCACGGCCGGACGATACGAGTTCTCGAATAAGGGTGGAGATATGTTCATTGAGTCGTTGGCACGTCTCAATCACTATTTGAAGGTACGGTAGGAGGGCATTGCTCAGCTTTTTCCGGGTTAGAAATGAGCAATTTTGAGCGAAATTATCATAAAAATCATGAAATTTTAAGCATACAAAAATTGCCTTATTTTGCAGTTCTAGGCTTAAGAATCGCTGAAAATTAAGCTGAGCAATCTCTAACTATTTTCCAGACCACCAACGATCCGCGTCACATGGGCGTTACGGTAGTGGCCTTCTTGATCTATCCAGCACCAGCCAATTCGTTCAACGTGGAATCCTTAAAGGGACAGGCCGTCACCAAGCAGCTCAAAGAGGCGGTGGACCGGATTAAGGAGAAAGTTGGGCAGCGAATTTTTGACATTTGTCTGCAGGGACACTTGCCGGAGCCCGAGGAGCTAATGTCGCCAGCTGATAATATTTTGGTGAGATTTGGACTCTGGAAATTTGCTGAAAATGGTCAAAAATAACTTGAAAGTGGCAGAAACCCTGACTGAAAATGATCAGAAATAGCCTGAAAATGAACAAAGTGGCCTAGAAAACTCGAATTGCAAAAAATCGGCCGCCTTGCTTTCATGTTCTAGAAATGACCTGATATTCACCTGGTCTGTTCTATAGGCCTTTTTAACATAGTGACCTAGAAAATTCATTTTTCGGAAAGTTAGGCCATCATGTTAAAATGGCCTAGAAAACATACCAGGTGTGTTTTTTTAGAATGTCAAGCCATTTTTAGGTCATAAAAGTTGAGTGGCCGAACTTTTGCACTAGTGGCCTAGGTTTCGACTGAAAATTGTCTCTGAAACCCCCAAAATGAAGGCTAAAAATGCAATTTTCTCTATTCCAGCTGAAACGCTGCATCATGTCGCTGCACAACTCGAGCCTTCCACCAATCTGCACGCACAACATGATCCGTGCCGACGACCCGGTCCTCGAAGCCCTCCGCCGAACCGCCCTCTTCAACAAGCCCGAGGATCGTGTCAAAGTGGTCTTCCACCCTGAATTCCTCTCCTCCGTCTCGCCACTCATCGGTCTGGATTACGAGGATTTCGTTCGTGGATGCCATTTGGGCGTCTTCCCATCGTACTACGAACCATGGGGCTACACACCGGCCGAGTGTACCGTCATGGGCATCCCATCGGTGTCTACGAACCTCTCTGGCTTCGGATGTTTCATGCAGGAACACGTCGAGGATCATGAGCAGAAGGGAATCTATGTGATCGATCGGAGACACAAGGCCGCCGAGGAGTCGGTGCAGGAGTTGGCCAATGTCATGTACGACTTTTGTGGACAGTCACGTCGTCAACGTATCATTCTTCGTAACGCCAACGAGGGTCTCTCGGCACTGCTCGATTGGCAGAATTTGGGGGTGTTCTATCGGTAAGGATTGGGGTTTTTGAATGAAATATGACCTAAAATAGCTGAGAATCGCAAAAATTCCACTGAAAGTTGTCAAATTTAGCTGAAAATGGTCTAGAATAGCTGAGAACCGCGAAAAATCCACTGAAAATCGTCCATTTATGACTAAAAACGACTGATACCAAGTCTCGAATGTCGTGGCCTAGTTTTCCCATACTTATCCTAGGCCACCGAAACAGTCGGAAATTTGTTGAAAATGGTCAAAATTTGGTTGAAAATGGCGAAATATTGACTAGAAATGGTCAGAATTCAGCTTAAAATGACCGAACGTGGCCTAGAAAACTCAACCTGCAAAAGTTAGGCCATCTAACTTTTATGAACCAGAAGTAGTCTGAAATTCTAGAAAACACACCTGGTGTGTTTTTAGCCTATTTCAGCATGGTGGCCTAGAAAACTCTAACTGCAAAAGTTAGGCCATCATGTCAAAAAGGCCTAAAAACACACCAGGAGATTGTCAGGCCATTTCTTGGCCATTTTTACATGGTGGCCTAGAAAACTCAACTTGCCAAAGTGAGGCCACCTAACTTTTATGACCTAAAAATGGCCTAACATGCCCTGGTGTATTTTCTAGACCATTTTGACATGGTGGCCTAACTTTTGCAAATTGAATTTTCTAGGCCACCAACAGAAAGATGGGCGAATTCGGGTTTCTAGGCC